GTGTGTGACTCAGGAGACAGTCAGTGGGCAGAAGGAAGTGGCTCTGTGGCTAAAAGCAGACCAGAAGCTCGTTAGTCACTCCGGTAGCCGGGAAGGCTGGGGCTGCCCCAGGTCACTGTCTTCCAGGCCAGTACCAAGGCTGCCCAGTGTCACTTAGGTACAAGTCCTTCCTCCCTGCTGGCAGCCAGCTCAGATGAGCTTGTCTGCTTTCAGGACTCTGTGCTTGTTGTCTGCTCACCAAGGAGTGTCCCCTCTCTGCAGATGGCTTTCTACATACAGTCCATGTCACTGGCTACCGCCACCCCAAAAGCCCCAAAGCCCAAGTCCAGTTAACTATGCCACACACTCCCTCTCCTGCAGCTCCATGCTGGCTTCCCGAGGCCCCACTGTGAGGCGTTCACAGTTGTAGAACCTAAGTCTCTACCTAAGTCTCTTCACCTTAGGAGGCGGATTTGGGGGAAGGGTCTTGCCCTGTGTTTGCCCTGTTCACTCTTCCTCTTCCCTACCTCAGTAGGGCTGTGCTTACAAATGAATCACTCATCACTCACAATGAGCTGTCTCAAAGAACCCCAGGGACGCCCTGCCTCACTCAGCACCATCTAGGGATTGTGGGTAAGAGCATGCGTTCGAAGTTTCTCCCCTCACTGACTCAAAGCAGCTTTCATGCCCACCCCTTCCTCTATCTGGATAGCCCTCCACCACTATCCACAGGGCTCTCTTCTTTCTCGCTCCGCCTCCATCAAGCATCCTCCATGAGTGTTTCCTGACCTCTGCCCCCTTCTCCCCTGCCAGTGCAGGCTAAGGTCACTATGTTTTGCCCACTAGAAGATCCCTGAGACCAGGGGCTTTGTCTATTCACTGCTGTCCCCTGCAACTGGAATCGTATGAGGAACACAGTGGAGGATCCTGAAATCGCCAAATATAGGGTCAGGAGCCTGCGTCAGGCTCTGCCTGGGCATCTCATGTGACTTTGGCACTGACCCTGGGAAGCAGGTGTTGTCATTATCCCATTTTACAGACAGGATCCTGAAAGCAAGTAGGTAGGTCTGCACCTGGAATCTTGTAACTATTACTTCCCTGTATACCTTGAGGTATCTGAGTCATTCTGATTCGATGTTCTGTCTCTGCTGAAGCCGCTGGGTACAGCCTCCTCTGCTATCCCTGCCTCAGTTTCCTTAGCGATGAAATGCTAGGTGGTTAACACATGGACAAAACAGTGCTGCGGTTCAAGAAGTGCTTCCTCTCAGAGCGGGGAGGAGAAGCAGGTGCAGAGCAGCCCCCCACCTCCCAGAACAACCCTGCCCTTGCTCCCTCTGGGCAGCCAAGCATGGGCTGCGTCTTTTCCCACCACTGCCTAGTTGGGTTCAAGGTGGCCAGAGGAATTCAAGGCCACTAGACTCAGACAGGAAAAGGCAACGTCACCAGTGCTGGTGTAATCCAAACCAGATGTGGCCTCGGTGGCTTCCAGACCCAGGGGGTGGTCACTGCGGGCCTGGCCCAGGCCCAGAGGCAGGAAATGGCCTTGGAGGAACACTCTCTGGGTTAGGCCCAGCTAGGAGGAGGGTCCACTGGAAGTTCTTAACCCTTCTCAGACCAAAGGGATACCCAAGCCGGGCTCCAGGAAGGTGCACACGCTGGTAACGCAGCAGACAGCCAATGCACCATTGCTGAGACACACACTGTGTGGGACCAGCCATGGCCCTGAACTGTGAGAAGCAGGATATGCCCTTCCTGGAGCCTGGGAGGCTCATAGCCTAGCATCCTGGGGATGGGAGGGTCCCAGGCCCAGAGCTCTGGCCACAGACTACACTCAGGTCTAGCTCCAACTTGGCAGTCCTCACTCAGCTGTGGACTGCTGCCTTCCTTAACCTAGATCTAGAGTACAGACTCCTTTTACCCAGCGACTGTCAGGGATAGAACTCTACTGAGAGCCATGGAGCTTGGGTCCCAGTCTCCAGAGAGGCAGATGCAGCTACGCAACAGGGCAAGGGCTCCAGCTCTGAGAGTGCGCTGGGCAGGCTTTGAGAGATCAAAACGTCCTTATGAAGCAAAGTGGCTCATGCCTTTAGTCTCTTCACTTGGGAGGCAGAGGCAGGCAGATCTCTGTGAGTTCAAAGCCAACCTGGTGAGTTACAGGATAGCCAGGGCTACATAGTGAGACCCTGTCTTGGAGAGGGTAGAGTGGGGGACATCCCTATAAACCTTCACTCTCCAATCTATATTTCAAGTCTGTATTCTCTGCCTCCAGGGACCTGGAAAGCTCACGCAGACATGTTTCTGGGAGGAGAAGGGCAGCAGGGTAGATTTGTGGTTGCAGGGTGATTCTCCCTGCCTATGGTTCTTGAGAGGCTTCTTGCCCAGGACATATTAACTAGCTGTGTGGCTTTGAACCTGTTCCCTCAGCAGTGGAGTTTGGTAGATGGGTCTCCCTCCCATCTCAACTACCATGATGGCTACAGGAATTGCAGAAAAAGGAAGAGCTAAGACTATGATCAAGTTAGAGAGGAGGAAACAAGAGCCGGGCGGTGGTGGCGCATGCCTTTAATCCCAGCACTCGGGAGACAGAGGCAGGTGGATTTCTGAGTTCGAGGCCAGCCTGGCCTACAGAGTGAGTTCCAGGACAGCCAGGGCTACACAGAGAACCCCTGTCTCTAAAAACTAAAAAGAAAAAATAATAAAATATAAAAAGGAAATGAGCTTGTTCTTGGAGTCAGGGTTCTAGTTGAAGTATTTGGTGCGGTGCCTTCCCTCTTGTGGCCTCTGTTTCCCCAGTTTCCCTAGTTCGATCTAAGCCTCTGAGCCTTGGATCTCTGCTCAGGCTGAATCTCATCCCTTCCCTCCCCTCTCAGGGTGACTCACCCTCATCATCCTGCTGTGTGGCCAGATGCTCAGCCAGGGTGGGGTCAGTGAGGCAGAGAGGACCACTCAGTAGAAACCTAGGCCTAGCTGCTGGAGATAGCCATGTGTGACCCGGGGAGCCTGCTGTTAGTACATCTGCCATTCACAGCCCAAACCCTGTTTTCAGAACTTTCCATTCCCTGTGCTGAGGTTATGCTTAGACACACTCAAGTCCGAAATCCCATACCCCATGTGGTACCTGCTGCTTGCAAGAGCAGGGCAGCAGGCAGGGCTGACGGGTGAGGTGCCTGACTCCGCAGTCATGGAAGCAGGAGAAAGATGTACTCATGTCACTGAGGTCTGAACCTGTGGACACACCTTAGAGTAGCAGGGCGGCAGCCACCACAGAAACAGAGCCTGATCAGTCTGGGTACTGATCCTGGTTCCCTGCAGCCTCTCAAGCTTTCCTTAAATCAGCTTTTCCGTCAAAGGGTGCAGGCTGAGGACCTGGTGCTCACCACCCATCACCGCTTCTGTCTGCCTCTCTGGCAGTCCCATGCACCACGCTGTGTCACTTGGGGCTCAGTTGCCTCTCAGTTAGAAAGTCTGCACAGTGGTAGGGCTTGGCTCTACTCTGCTCCTCAGGCTGCCCCTCGAGCAGATGGCCCCTGCCTGCATGTGAGGCCTAGATAAGGCTGGTGGAGAGCTGAAAGCAGGGCTTACTGTAGCAGGCATCCCTAGCTGTGTGATCCTTAGCCTTTCCTGGATGCCCCGTGTTCCGTCCGACCTTGTTCAATGTTGAGCTCACAGGGAGACTTACTGAGCAGGCTTCAAGTTCCTTCCTACTCTGAGCCTACAGAATGTGGATAAGGACACCCCCAGTCCCATTTCCTCCACCTTACCCCCCTTATCTCGATCTTACCGATGATACACCATCATCCTCTCCTCTCCGTGAAGTAGCTCTTATCTCTGTCTTACCACCTGACTCAGTTTCCCTCTGTGAGATACAAATCATGTCTACCTCCTCATGATCCTCAAAAAAATAAGGAGTTAATCCATGTTGGGCCCACGACTAGAGTTCAGCACGAGCCACCCTGCATACTTCTCCTCTTGTGACATCATCCCTCTCCTAGGAGAGGAAACTGAGGCACAGTGAGGAAGCCACTTGAACACAACTCATGTTTGGAAGTCTGGCTCCCGAGCCTACATCTGTGAACACCACACTATGCATAGATGTGAAAACTCGCCGCCGGGCACGTAGTAGGTGCACTATTAATGCAGTAATTTGTGACCTCACACGAGTGTGTGCACGCGCAGAGGTAAGGAGGCTGCCTCCAACCTGTGTATTTATTTACAAGGCAAGCTGAGAGCAGGTTGGGATCTGCCGGATGGCTTCACACTCCTCGTGGGCCGGTTCATCCTGTTATTTGGGGGTTGTGAATGCCCCTGGGATGGGCAGAGAGTAGCCAGGGTGGGAAGACTCAGTCCTCAAGTAAACTTGGGGGGGTGGGGGGCAGTCTCATGCCTCCCAGGTCTCTTCCCGATACCACCACCACCACCACTCCATGCCTAAGCCGGCTTTCTCTCACAGAGTTCCTGTGTGTTGGTGGTCACAAAAACAGAAGGTGGGGGCCAGGAGGCCAGATGGTGTGTGCGAGGCTCTATCTGTTGGGAGTGTGAGGCAGGGCACGGAGGTCCTCTCACACAAAGCCTGCTCTGTCTCCCCCGGCAGCTGGACTGCATTCTTATCCCGCTAGAAGCTTCCATCCACCACCGCAACCCACCCGCTGGACCCCCAGCTCCCGCTCCAGGCAAGGGCGCCCCAGGTGGGGCAAAGATGAGGCTACAGGGCAGCAGTTCAAAGGGGGAAGCGAGGGAGAGACTAGGGAATGGCCTGGCTGTCCTTGGAGTCTGGGTGGGGCTGACAGGCCACAGCCCTGCTGAGGAGGCGGTAGCGGGACGGATTCCAGCCCACACTCGGTGTTCACAGAGGGGAAGCGGTATCGCCTAGACCTGCGCAGCCCCAAGCCTCCGGGCCTGGTGCAGCTTTGCCCTGACCAGCCTGCTCTAGAGATCCGGCCGGCTCTCTCTGGCCTTCTGAGCTGTGTGGTTTCAGCCTTGACCATCGTGCAGCTGCATCCAGGCTTAGCTGCTCCTGGGGTTCAGACCCCCAGAGCCATCAGTGCCCCCGAGCTACTGATCTTCTTGAAGCGGTTGGCTGCGCTGACAGCAATGAAGTTTTTCTGGGGGACAAGAGAGGAATCCTGGTCAGCACTCTGGTAGGAGAGAACGTGGGGTATGGGCAAGCGTCCTTCAGAGTTTCCCCTTCTGGCCTGAGAGAAGGCTTAGCACACAACCGTGCTTATAGCCAAGCCAGAGTCCAATCCCTGGGAGCCCGAAGGACAGAACTGATGCTTACAGTTGTCCTCTGACCTCTAGGCCATGGCCTGAGTTTGTCTTCTGTACCTTCTGCATACATACAATAAGTAAATGATAACTAAATAAAATAAATAAATAATACAGAAAAGTAGAATAAAAAAATTAGAAGACTTTTAAAAGATCTCCCCATCGTTAAAGGAGGGTCAGAGACCAGGAGAAACAGAGTGCCTCCTACCCGACTATAAAAAGTGCCATGACACTGTTTGATCCAAACAAAAGAAGCCCCTCATCCCAATTCATGAGTTCCTCCCTCTGCAGCAGCGATTCTCAACCCTTTGGGGGATGGTGTCACATGATCCTTTCACAGGGGTCACCTAAGACCATTCTGGATATCAGATATTTACACTATAATTCATAGCAGTAGCAAAACTACAGCTATGAAGTAGCAACAAAAGTAATTTTAAGGTTGGGGGTCACCACAACACGAGGAACTGTATTAAAGGGGTACAGCATCAGGAAGGCTGAGAACCGCCACCTGTCTCCTGTTCCACTCGACCTCTCTTAATCTATTCCAGCCATACAGCCTGCTGCCTGAGGCCCACGCTCACCATCCAGGTTCTGTCACGAGGCTTCACACTCCCCCTTCCCCCCCACCCCTGCCCCCTCTCTCCTTGAGGTCTTGATTCACCTGTTTATCCTCACTGCCCCCCCAACACCCTGTATGAAAGTATAACCCCTCCCTGGCACTCTGACCATCCCCTTAAGAACTGTCTACCTTCACTGAAAGCTAAATCCTCAAGACCCAGCTCCTGCCTCCTGGCTCTACCGTAGCAGGAACGCATTTAGGAGTAACAGCTGTCCCTTAAGTATTTGGGAAATGAGGGAGGAGGGATGCAATTGGGTCAGAGATGCTCTCCCGAGCCCGAGCTCTAGATGAATGATCCTCCCCTGGCAGGCAGGATGGGTGAGCAACTCCAGTTTAGAGTGGGAGCTAGCCCAGGACCCAGGGAAAAGTCCATGTTTCCCAGACAAGGCCAGGCCCTGTCAACAGAGACTGGCAAGACATCGCTGGTATGGCTGGAGCTGCCAATGAGGCTCTCCCACCTCTCAGCCGCCCTCCTTCTGCCCCAGGTCTCGTACCTTCCAGCGCCTCTTCATGAGGTATTTCTTAAGCAGGATCTGGGACTTGAGGCGACGGTTGCAGCGTTTGGCTTTTTCTGCCAGGTTGTTGAGCCAGGGGTGGGCGAGGCATTGCTCGGCACTCATTCTGGCGCTATGGAGAGGGCAGTGTGGTGAGGCCAGGCCCGTGCTAGGCCCACTTGGCCCAGGCACGAACTCTGCCCTAGAACATACAGGGCCCCCAGCCTGGGCAAGTCTCACCTCTGGTCCTTTGTGATAAGATTGGAAACGAAGTCTTTGGCCTCATCTGACACAGCTTCAAAGGTTTCCTCATCAAAGTACCAGTTGGCAGACAGGACATTGTTTAGAGTCTCCGTGTCATTGTCTCCCAGGAAGGGAGAGAGGCCACTCAGTCTGGAGGGAAGGAGAGTAGAGCAAGAAAGTGAGGCGGCAGCTGCTGACGATGGGCCAGAGCCTAGGAGGCAGCTCGTGTTGGAAAGACCCGGGGCTTCCAGAGCAGGACAGACCTGGGTTTGAATCTGGCTGGGTGACTTTGGGCAAGTCACTTCCCCTCTCTGAGCCTCACTCTTCTCATCTGTAAAATGGGCATAATCACCCCAGCTTCCCAGGGTTACAGTGAAGATGAGGAACAGTAAGTGTGAAACACAAAGTGAGCACACACAAAGGAGATGTCCACTGTCCCTCTGTGCCCACCCAGAACATGGGGAATCTGCTATCCAGAATCTGCCCCAGGGTGGGATGTTGTACTTTTAGGTGACCTTAGTTTTTTCATATATAAAATGGGTATAAAGTCCCCCTTTCTAGTTCTCCCTAGCATTCAAAAAAAAAAAAAAAAGACCCAGGCTGAAGGATCAGGAAGGTAGGACCACCTCAGAAGAACCCCAAGACCAGTCTTGTCCTCTCCTACCCATCCCCGCGCCCCTGCTGACTGTGGCCACCACTTTCCCCGGGCTCACAGCATGTAGGTGATCACCCCAAGACTCCACATGTCTGTCTTGTCAGAGATCTGGTCATAGTTCACCACCTCCGGTGACAGGAACTCCGGGGTCCCAAAATTCACCTTCAGCTTCTCATTGGGGTTATACCTGGGGGTGAGGTTGAGCGTTCAAGTTGCCAGCAGCCACCAGAGACATCCCACCCCTTCTCTGTCCCGCCTCTAGGCCCCGCCCACCTCTAGGCCCCGCCCACCGACACACGCAGCTGGTACCTCCTTGCCAGGCCAAAGTCGATTATCTTCACCAAGTGCCCAGTGGTATTCACACACAGGATGTTCTCTGGCTGAAGAGACAGGGGTGGCGCGGGTCGGCCTCTGACCCAGCTCACCCTCCTTTCCCTCACCCTCCCCCCAGCTCCACCGTGGCCCCTTATTGGGGCCCAACACGTGGGAGTGGATCCTTAGGTAGTACTCAGGGACCCATCAGGCCTGCATGCTCTCAACCTAAGGAGGCTGAGGCCCCGTGAGGAACCTGTCTCAAAGCACAGGGCTACCCAGTAGGCTCAGGTGGAATCTCCCTCCCCCCAGTCCTGCGGAGGGTGGAGACACTGAGGTCTGCAGATAGACAGTGTGCCCCAGCTGGAGGCCAGGAAGGACTGCTCTCAGGAACCGGAGAGCCAGGGCCTGAGTGAGTAAGGTAACAAGGAGCCTCTAGACAACACCGTCTCTGCTGCTCTCAGCAGGGCAGTGCCTGCCTCCCACACACAAACGCTTCTTTGAAAGCCACACACTTGGAGGCAGAGCCCTTTCTCCCAGGACCTTGCATTTTAATTAGGGGCTCTACTCTATTCCCCCCAAAACTCAGCCTTCACAAGGAACCTCTGATGCCTGCCCATGGAGCCTTCAGCCAGCCTAACTCCTCAGGGACCCCCGTGTCCCTGTAACTTAGGAGTCACCTCTGACTTTTTCCTAGCCCACTCCCCAGGCACCTTCAGTCAGACACTCATTTTCCAAAGCTCATGCCTCTCAGTCCCACGGGCTCTCTCCTAGCTTCCTACCTCGGCCTCCTGAGGTCCCTCCTCCCCCCAGGTCCCCCTGAAAACTATCTCCTCTCTCCTGTGTTTGTCCTCAGAGCTACCTGCAGGAGCCACTGGGAGACTGTCACGCCCTCTCGGAACATGACACTGAGCAAAGCCAGAAGCTGCTGGACGCCCCACCCACTGCCCTAACTCCACCGGACAAGTGTCTGTTTTCCCATCTTCTCCCTCCGCGTGTCCTGGGTACTTTCTTGTGCCTTTCACAACCTTTTAAAATGGATTTCATTATTTGGACGTTGTAGGATGGACAGGGGACATGTTCATCCTAGTCCCACACAAGCCCTGTGTGTTCGGTGAATGAACGAACGCAGGTACCCACTCTGTGCTGATGGAGCTTATTAACATTCCAGCTCAATATTTGCTAACATCTGCCACGGGGACAGGAGATACCTGGTGTCCCCTCTTCCCATTCTATGCCCTAGGAAGGTTTCTAAGCTCCCAGCAGCCACTAGTACTGACGGAAGTAAGTGTACTGTGTAGAATCTATTGGCTGTCCTTAGTCAGCTGTGTGCAAGGGACTCTGTCAGCTCAGGACGTGAAAGTCCCCTTGTAGAGTTCATCACTAGTGCTGCCTCCTGTGCACTGAATTGAGGCTTCTCAGTGAGCTCCATGTTCTGGTGTCCCAGAACATCGGCTGCTATGAAGTAGACCCTCAACAACACCAGGGTCTCACTCTGAGCAACACCCACTGGCGTTGTACCTGTCTGAGGCCAACATGGAGGTCGGTGCTGTATAACACCAGCAGCTGGAGTGCAGCAAACACCGGACTGTAAGCTCCAAGGAAGCTGAGACTGAGGGATGCCTCTCTCCACCCCACCCTTCCGTCTCTGTCCCTTGCACTTGGCCAGCACTCGGGATATACACTGAATAGGCTGAGAACAGGGAATGAGAGAAGCTAGAGAAAGATGAGCCTGTGACAACGGCCGCTCCGGGAGGCCTCAGCCCACTACCTTGAGGTCCAGGTGGAGGACTCTCATCTTGTGCATGAAGAGGACACCGTCGCAGATCTGCCTGACGAACACCATGGTGTCCACTTCGGTCAGTTGGTAGTCCTCATCCACAATCCTCTCAAAGAGCTCGCCTCCCTCGATGCTGTGTGCACAGACCCCTCTGCAGACTGGCTCTGGGCTGCTGGCCCTGCCACCCAGCCCCAACTCCCACAGGGGACACTCACTACTCCATGAACAGGATGATCTCGTGTGAGGTCTCAATGGCTGAGTACAGCTGGATCAGATTGCGGTGGTTGAGCTGGTTCATGACCTCAATCTCCAGCAACACCATTTCCTGAGGATCAGGGAAATCAGGAGGACCCACTGGGCACCAACACCACCTCCAACCTCCTCCCCGCTGTCTCCTTGCCTCTGTCACGCTCTCCCTATAACCTCACCCTGAGCACCTGCCGCAGAGCTATAACTGTGTTGTAGTTACCTGGGATCAGTTTCCAAAGCCAAATGTGGTAGTACATGCTCGTAATCCCGGAATTCAGGAGACAGAGGCAGGAGGGTCAAGAGTTCAAGACCCACCTAGATCGAGACCCTATTCAACCCCATCCCTAAAATGGGATTGATTCTCAAATACAGAGCAGCCATCTTTGCCATTTCCTTTTGGGGAATCTAAGGAAGCCCCAAATTTATCACATGCTGAGTAAGTCCTTGGTACAACCCTTCTCTATGACTGACTCACCTAGAGCCATCAGAGAGAAAGAGAGAGAGAGACCTTCACCCAAGCATTAGGGACAAAGAACTAGGAGCAATCATCCCTGTCTGTCCACTGACCATCCATCATTAAGGCCTTTGTCACAGGTCCACCCTAAGCTAGATTAGAAACCCAGACAACCTGTTACCCCCTCTTTCTATGACAAACAACCGTCACTCGTAACTTTCAGCAAGTGTGCAGATCAGAAGTCTCATTGGTGAGCTGACATAAGCTATGGTAGGAATATTTACACCACGAAATTGGCACGTGATACTCTTCAGGCCTCTCCTTGTGCCCGCATCCCAGGGCAGCCATTAAAGTCCAGGCATCAGTGCGAGACCATCCAGCCACATCTCTTTGTCCTTCATCCCACTCCCTTCCAGCTCACACTTTGCCTACTGCTTCCCCAGAGAGGCCCTAACCTCTAACATGGTCCCTCTGACCAAAGCCCCCGCCACTGTCTTGCTTCTCTTTCTTCCTGTCACCTCTCAACACTGATGTCGTTCTCTTCATTTTGCTCCAGCCTTTAGTCATCTATCTGTCCCTATACTCTGATGTGCTGGTCCCATGAGGTTGGGGGACTTTTTTCAGTCCTGTGACATCCCTCTGGCACCTGGTACGGTGGCAGGCAAAGGAAAAAATGCTCAGTGATCAATTAACTAACAGCTGGCTCCAATTAACTCACACAGCATACGGTTGTGTGAATTATCACAGGACACTGAGCAGCCATGCTGAACCAGATCTTGTGGTAGACGCCCTGGAAGAGCAGTCAAAATACAGATCTGAGGCTAGGGGTGTAGCTCAGTTGGTAGGGTGCTTGCCTAGCATGCAGAAGGTCCTGAGTTCAATTCCCAGTGCTGGATATAGTGGCCAACACTGCGACCCCAACACTCGGGAAGCAGAAGCAGAAGAATCTGGAATTCAGGGTCATGGCTTCAAAGTGAGTTCAAGGTCACTCTGGGATACGTGAGCCCTTTCTCAATCAGTCAATCAAACAAATAAGTAAAAGATCCACACAGAGGAGCAAGATAGAGCCACACAGAAAATGCACCCCTCCCAGCTATGCTTGGAGCTAGTAGCCATGTTCCCCAGTGCTCCTGAGCTGCACAGAGGGCCCAGAAGGAAGAGTCCTGGAGAAGTGGGATTGTGTGGTTTATAGCTAGGGACACCTGGCACCTATAACAGGCTGTTTGTCCATCCTTCTCTCTGTGTGACACAAACTTTTCCCACCAGGGCCCCAGCCTAGCACTGTAGGTAGTTGGAGATAAGAGCTGTCTATCCAAGAACGTCTCTCAGCATTCCCCCACTACCTTGTCCTTGGGAGTCTGTTTCTTGATCACCTTGGCAGCCAGCTTGAGGCCTGTAGCTCTCTCCGTGCAGGTGCACACAGCTCCAAACTTGCCACTAGAATGGTAAGAAGTTGGAAGTGAGGGTACTTCCCAGACCCAGGGGTCAGCAAAGATCTGTGCTCCCTTCTCCTCCTGGCACAGGCCTGGTGGTGACTCTGGCTGCTTCTCTGAAAGCTGTGACCGCTCACCCCTCCAGCCCCTACTCCCTCCTGATGCAATGGTCGCTCTACCAAGATGATGACTGGACAGCATGGGGCAAAGAGAAACAGGCTAGAAATAGCCAAAGGCTCATCCAAAAAGTGACCACTTTGGGAGACCGAATGGATAACATGTGTGACCATACAGAAGCAAGTGCAATCATGTAGGCCATGTCCTAGGGGGTGTGTCTGGGCCAAGGGGTCTGGATGCGCCCCCATACATGGTTCCAAGCTTGGCTCACTGACTCACCCCCCCAATGCCTCCTTTGAGTTCATGCTGAATTCACTGTTGACATTTCCGGTCCTCAGCTCCACGATCCTGTGTGGGAAGGGGGCTGGGGGTGGCGGACAATCATCTAAGAAGACAGAGTTGAGCTATTAGTTAGGGGTGAGGACTTCTGGGAAATGTCTTTAACATCACTGCCTCCTGCCTTATCTGCCTCACCCTCCAAGAAAAATTGAGTTCATCGAGTGATGCCCGGGGAACATCTGGTCAACAGGACTATCAGACCCACACAATTCTAGTTCTGCCCTGTACACCCAAAATGGCCTTAGACATCTGTCTCCAACAATGGAGATTCGGGTTCTCTGCAGAATGATAAAGACAACTAGCTGACTGGACTTAGATACAAGCTGTAGGGAGGAGTGGGGTTGTTTTCATTAAAAACAGCCAAACACCCGAACAAGCCCACACAGCAGCTGTGAAGTGCAATCCCAGACAGTGGGTCTGCTGTGTCTGAATGACGGTGTGGGTGGAGACACTTGCTGGCCACCTGATTACACACCACGGTGGGGCGCCCAGGAACACAGCAGTTCGATGGTGAAACACCGCCATCTAGTGGGCCTTATGAGAATAGCGGGCTCCGAAGGCCAGCGGGCTGACTCATCGGAATGGAAACCTTTAAAAATAGTCAGAGGCGGCAGGGAAGCCACTCTGGTAATAAATCAGACGGCCCTTGGAGGTGGTTCAGGTCCTGTCATGCCAAGGATGTGATCTCTGGGCAGGCCGGAGGTCTCTGGAGTCGCGGGGGCAGGAGGCAGGGCCCCTGGCCACCGCCCAGCCGCCAGGTCCTCCCACCCTGTCTGAGTGGCACTCTGCCGCGAGCCAGGCAGACTGGCCGGTCTCCCAGGGCACCTCAGCCTGGAGGAGGGGGTGTTAGGACACTCTGGGCTCTCCTGACCCTATATCACCCTACCCCCAGCCCAACTGCACCCCTGCTGGAATCCCCTCACTCCTGCCGCTCAAGCTTGCTCTCCCACCGCCCCAAAGCTTTCTCTCGGTACCAGCTTCCTTGGCCACTGGTCCCTTGCACAAACTAGCTGTGGCTCCCTAACTGCCCTCCACCAATCCTTTTCAAAGCAACTAACATGGAACCTTTCCTCAGACAGAGCCCCGACTCCACTTTGCAGCAAGTTTGCGTTGTTACACTTATCTGTACGGTTTTCTTTCTTTCTTTCTTCCTTCTTTCCTTC